CTCATCTACATGCAAACTGCACTAACCCAGGACTTGGATTTAATGTCCCAGCATCCTGCGGGTGTGGAGGGGCTGAGCCTTTGTCATGCGAGGACCCCAGGGCTCAAGCCCTATTGCTTTGCAGTGTAGATGCAGTCCCACTGGACTTATGCTCTGGGACTCTGCCAGAAGTATTCCACAGGCCAATTTTATTTGTCCTCAGGACAGTCAGGTTTGGGAGACAGTCAGGTTTTCCCACACTGCCCCACAAAAAAAGGGCTAGAGCAGCTACATTTTGGAAGAGCGCTAGGAAGCCTGGGATATGGCTGGTTTGACTCCAGCTTGCAAAATGCAGTGTAGACACTGGAGCCCCAGGTTGAGATCCAGGGGTCAACAACTCCTAACCTGGGGTTACAAATGAGTAGAGATGTTTGAGCTCTAGGTGAACAAACCCCATGTCTGCTAACTCAAATTCTACTAACCCTGGGCTTACATTGCAGCACAGACATACCCTGAATGCTCTGGGGAGGAGGTGCTCAGCCAGTGTTGCTGCTGCAAAGAAACCCTCCTGAGGTTATTGCTTCAACGACATGTTGAGACTCATGCTAGTGGCAGGGCTCAAGTAACCTTTTGTGGGCCCCAGCGCCTGGACCATAGCCCCACCCCCTGCTCTGCCCTGAGGCCCCATCCCGACTTCACCTGTGCTCTGCCCCCCCAAGGGGCAGGAGGCAAAGAGAAGCAAGCAGCAGGTGGGAGAACGGGGCGGGGAGGGGGCAGAAAGGAGTGAGCAGTGGTCAGGGCCTTGGGGGAAAGAGGCTGCATGGAGGGCTGGGGGTGGGACCTTGGAGTGGAGCACAGGTGGAGAGGAGGGGTGGGGCCATGGTCTAATGGTGATAGTTTGGCCAAGGGAAGTTAACTTCCTCAAATTGACTGCATGAAGGAACTGTGTATAATGATGAAAAACAAACCAAAAAAGAAACTACACAAAGATCAAACATTTGTAACAAGTCACAGCTACTGTTACACCTACCAGTACTGTCAGAGTGAGCTTCTGTGACTGTTACTCAAGGCTCCCCACTGTCTGTTGTTTAACTGTGCACCTATGATAACTGTCCCCAGCCCTCCCATGGATTATCAGCAGAACCCAAAACCATTAGCACTGAAAAACCCCAGGGCTCCTCTACATGAGCTAAAAGCCATTAGCAAGCTTTAAGCCTCTGTGTGGGCCAGCCACTAGCTGGAGACATGTTCAGACACACCTAGACAGTACTCTAGCCCTCAGTGCTGCTTAGGGTGTTTGTTGGGACATCAGGCTTTGAGGCAACTCAAAGCCTTTTGCAGGCTACAATGAGGTCGGCTAAATGAAAGCGGGTTTAGCCATCGACTGGTCTAAACCGATTCAGTCTAGGACTGTGTGTATTAGCACATTAACAGTTATATAATGTTCAAGTAACTGGCCACTGCTAATCAGGCAAATGTGTGAGTGAACTCAGCTCACCCAAGAGATAAGTATATGTCATTGTTTAGCAGTTCTAGGAGAGCATAATGTTTACTTCCAACACCATGTAGCTCAGTGAGAGCCAAAGGTTTATATGTCTCCCTTTTTTTCCATAGAGTGGGACAGCTGCAAACTTAAGATCCCTGAAGGAATGTCTTTGGTGCTGTCAGAAAGGTTATTTAGGGTCTCATCCTGTGGGATGCTGACCCCCCTCAATTCCCACTAAAGTGACTGGGAACTGTAGGCGCTTAGCACATCTGGAAATCAGGCCACTTATTTAGGGGGCTAAGAATGGATGAAGAGTCGAACTTTAGACAGCCCCATTTGAAAATGGTGGCCTTTGTTTACTAAAGCCAGACTGCTCAATTAGACTGGATGGTCACAGATATTTTTGAGCATTTAAACCCAAGAGCAGAGCAAGTATTTGTAAAAGAAAAACCGGTCACAGCTTCCAACTGTGGAGGAAAATGAAGAGGCTGCAGCCAGCATCTTGGATTGGAGACACTGGTGACAGGATGTAATACAGATGAGGAGCTGCAATTCCAAACTTTGGACAAGTTGCCATCAGCGAACAGGCATTGCAGGAAACGGAGTTCTAATATGATGCTCACAGTGCAGGGTCAGCACAATGCTCCAGGAAGCACTAATGGGCTATGTATGATGACTGGATGGGGGAGATGAGAGGTAACGTTTCTGACAGCCAACCAGATTGGAACAGAGGAGGGAAGAAAAACAGGAGTAAAAGGCAATAATGAAAGCGCCCTCACAAGAGGAGAACTGGAAAGGAGGGCAGACAGGTTACGGAGGTAACTTTGGGATGGGGCCTAACAGTTGCTGGAAGGCTGAGGTAGGGCAACTATTTGCAGTAGAAGTGCAGCGCTCCCGTTTCTAGATCCAACAGTAGGACTTCATCTGAACCCACAGGTTCTAGCCCCATAGTGCAGAAAGTGAACACAGGGTTCATTGAACTTGAGTCTCTGCCTTTACTGAAATGTCTGGAGATGGGGTATACGGACCACACACTGACCAAGAAGGGGTTAATGAGAGCCTGTAAGCCTAGTCAGCCCCACGCCATTACACATGTGTAAAGTGTCAAGCCTGGGGGGAGGAGATAAAAGAGGAAAACCCAGGTCAATGGTGACTGATTGGGAGAGAGCGACCTTGTGAGAGAGCCCTGTGAAGGAAGGCCTCGCTGGGGCCAGAGTCTAATCAGAGACTGCTTGAAGCTGCCTGGAAGGATCAGCTGGGGCAGGGCCTAACTAGAGACTCCTAAGGGTCAGAGCCTCCTTGGGACAGGTAGGCCTGGTGCAGCCGTTCTGTTGTTTCTCATAACTAGTCCGGATCCTCTTTGTTTTGGGATTAGCAGAAGAGTCAGTTGGGGAAGAGACTGTGAGGAAGTCCTAGCTGCCAGCCACAGTAGGAAGCAGCCCAAGGATCCAGCAGAGGGTCTAAACAAACTTCTCTTCTGCTTCATACAGGGTCCCTGGGCTGGAACTCAGTGTAGAGGGCAGATCTGGGTTCCCCTACTGGCCCAGTTAGGACTGGGGTGTGAAGACCCTAAAGCAAGTGGCTGGCAGGCCCAAAAGCCTGAGGCTGGACCAAACCCTGCTGTGGTGCTGCCAGGCCAGTGGTGTGTTGGACTCAAGTTTCCCTGGAAGAGGCTGGACTAAAAGGATATGTCTACACAGCAAAGAAAACCCCAGGGCTGGCTCAGGGCAGCTGATTCAGTCTCGTGGGGCTCCAGCTGTGGGGCTGTTTCATTGCAGTGTGGATTTCTGGGCTGTGGCTGAAGCCTGAACTCTGGGACCCTCCCACCCCGCAGGATCCTGGAACCTGGACTCCAGCCCAGGCCTGGAAGTCTACACTGCAATTAAACAGCCCCTTAGCCCGAGTCAGCTGTCTCAGGTGTCTACTTGCTGTGTAGATATACCCAAAGTGACTAGGCTGGAGGGCCAAGACACAGGAAGAGGCAGTCCACTGTGGGGCCAGAGCATCAGTCAGCAGAGGGTGCCAAATAGGAGAGCCACTACACCATGCCCAGCTATGAGGGGATGCGCCTTCAATGAGTACACTGTTCCATGGTCTGTACCATGATTTCCTGCTACAGCAACAGCTGCTGGTCCTTTAGCTAGTAGTAACAGGCCCCTTTAGTGCCCAGAAAATTTAGGACATAATTGCTGCTGTGAATAAACTGTCTCCCCACTGACGAGACCCAGATGTCTGATGTCTTGCACCTTGCACAAGCTCATACCTAACTTTAGTTGGTCAGATCCATGGTCATATGTTGCTGTACAAGATGAACCATCTGCCTTGATAACAGCCCCAAGTCTAGGTTTTAACTATTGTTGGCATTCACCATTGTCCTCTACTCCCAGAAGGTGAGAAGCCATCATTAGTTTGGACTGTCAGCCAGGGGACACAGGCTGTCCAGAATACTGACAAGCACAAGCAAATGTCATGAAAGCTTATTACCCTCAAAGTGTTTGCATAAACCTACATTTAAATTTCATTTTGCTTTAACTTTATACTCTTTTCCTTTGTGCTATGTTTAAAAAAGAAGTATTGGTTATTAAAATTCATGCTTTCAAATATTTAACTAATGTTTAATTGCTACCAAATGGACAGCATCTCCAAGGAACGTTGGGATCTACCTCAACTACTGGTGTATCACTCAGTAATGCAAACCTAAAGAATACCACACATGGTTTGATGTTCCACTAAGGGATATTGATATGTATGCCAATGTGATACTTATAACACAGAGACTCCAGTGTGTGGCCACTATGACTCAGACTAGTACAATGAGACACAGAAGCTAGTTGCTCCTGTCTCCTGCCTGGCAAAGCTTACTAGTGACAACCAGCAGTAAAGGTAACTTCTAATATGGATGGACCTGTGTAGTAACTAATTACAAGAAATTTACCTCGCTTGTAATGTCACTAATTTCTGTTTTACTCCTCATTTAGGTAGCATTATGGGTCAGACTATAATAATGCTTAAATCCACGTTTTCAAAATAAATTCAAAATAATTTATCACACGAGGATAGAAGTTGCATTTAAAGCTTTGCTTATGTTACAAAAAATATTTAGTTTTAATTGTACTAATTACATACAGCCTCGTACACATTTTGCTAAAAGAGTATAAGTTCCAAACAAAAGTTCTTATCTCTGCGTCATATATTAATTTAGCAAAGGTGTCGCCCTGATATAACAATAGAGTGACAAGTGGGGACCTGTTACCTAAAACATATGTTAGATTAGCATATAACACATTATACCAGCAACATTTGGCATGCGGCCCATCAGGGAAATCCGTTGGCAAGCCAGGACGGTTTGTTTACTTGCAGCGTTCGGCTGATTGCAGCTCCCCCTGGCTGATCCAGGCCAATGGGGACTGCAGGAAGCAGCATGGGCCAAGGTATGTGCTGGCCGCTGCTTTCTGCAGCCCCCATTGCCTGGAGTGGCAAACTGCGGACAGTGGGAGCGAAAATCAGCTGAACGCTGCAGGTAAAGAAACCGCCCCAGCCCGTCAGCAGATTTCCCTGACGGGCCGCGTGCCGAAGGTTGCCGATCTCTGCATTATACAAATGTCTGGCAGTTATAAGAGCGGAACTGGCCTACGTTCTTCTTAGAGTTCTGTTCACTCATGCTAAACTACACCCCACAATACCCTGCAATAGTACAGCTCAGCTTTTGGCATAAACAGATACATTTTTTTCTGTCTTCGTACAAGTGAGGGTGGTACCGTCACAGACAACACTTGCAGTGCTAGTATCCAAAACAAAGATAAGGAAAGGAACAGAGCAACAAGTCAAGGAACTGGGATGCACGGATGGGTTGTGCTTCAGAGATGTGTAAAGAGTTTTATAACTTGTAAAATATCTTATAACTAGTCCTAACTGAACTGTGAAACTTTGGGAGCTCACCTTCTGCATAAGGTGAACGTAACACTGCTGAACAAGATGGCTTCCTGAAGACTAGTACCATATAGAACCTTTTCCCTGTACGATATTATTATTGGCTTATTGCAATAAACCTGACTGATATTGTTTATTTGGTCTCTGGAATATATTTCATAATGAACCAAAGTGTGGTTGAGCAATCAACTAGACCATTTATTAACAGCTGGAAGTGACAAACTTAAAATAGCATATACGTACCTTTAACCCCTTTATGCCACAGGCTGTGGCTACCCAGCCCTAACAACAGCACTAACCCATGGCAAACCTGGCTCTGCTGCCACAAAGAAAATTGTGTATGTTCATTTAACCAAATGAATGAAAATTGTAGTTCTATTGTTTTTTCCTAAATGAGGCAACATTTAGTCTATGGAATGTAAGCCAGCACTCAAATACTTCAGATGTTTCCCATTAACAAGACTGCCTCTTGTCCTCCAATCCATTTTCCAGAGGCTTCTGTGACCACAGGCTGAGAAAAGGAGCCAGTGGTCTGGTTAGAGAGACCATTTTCCAGGCTGCTCGCAAGGCTTGTATTGCAGAATGTAGGCAAGACCACCCAAACTGCTGAGTTCTTCTTCCAGGGTAACAGTTGGAAAAGTTACTCGAGGGAAGCTGGCACTCACATGAATATATTGTAAGTTCTTTCAAACTGCATATCAGCTCTGCTTAGTGGTATAATTATACTGCACAAAATACACTAGGGTGATAGGGGACAATTGTGACTGATAATTAGCACTGATGTATCTATCACAACAGAGCCCTTGTCCGCTCTCATCAGACTTATTTATAATTGGTGAGATCAAATGACTCCTTGGTGTTTTAGGACCAGATTGCCCTCTCTTGTGGAAAACCTGCAGGAGAGGGCCTGAGGAGGGGAAGGCAACTCTGTAAGATTCCCCTCTGAGTTTTCCTTGAAACATGCTGTCTGCTGAAGGGATTTTCTCAGGGTGCAATGGATTTTGGAGCTCCCCCTCCCACGCCTCTTCCTTACAGACTTTGGGCTAGAAACAGAAAACAACTACAGAGCAGCTGTCTCTGCTCCCTTCCCTTTCCACTGGCAGCATGGTTACAAAGGAAGCCACACAGCCATTGGCTGCTCCCCGGCCCAACTCCACAGCAGCAGCTGTATTACCTCCCACCCAGTTTCCACATGGAAATTTATGCACATGAGAAAGTTGCACCAATTTAAGTAAAGGGGTGATTTTAAATCGGTTTAGTTAAAGCAGTGCAAGCCCCTGTGAGGACATTTCAGTTTAAACCAGGTCAGTTTAGCCTAAACTGATTAGGAATCAGTTTATGTAAAAACAAACTAAGGCCACATCTACTCTACAGAGTTAAGTCGACTTAAGTTACATTGATGATAATAACGCACTGTAATTACAGCGCTCGTGCATGTTCACACAATGCTCCTTGTGTCAATGGGGTGTGTGCACAGTTCATGCTCTAGCAGAGAGAGCAGTGCATGGTGGGTAGCTATCCCACTGTGCTACTCGCCACCTTCTCCTGCTACGAGTTCTGGGAATGGATCGCAGTGCATTGTGTGGGTGGAATCACCATCCCATAACGCAGTTTTCTCCATCCATCATTCCAAGGGCTTCTGACTGTGTTTCGTGCCATTTTTCAACTGCCTCTGTAAACTTTGCGCCTGCCATCTCTGTCTCAGAGCATGCTCAACAGTCTGTGATAAGCATTGTGAACACAAGGTGGCTGATCAAGGAGCAGCTGCACATGGTGGACCTTCACTATTGGGCTCAGGAAACAAGCACCGAGTGGTGGGATCCGATTATGATACAGGTATGGGATGACAAGCAGTTGCTGCAGAACTTTCGTATGCACAAAGCCACTTTCCTTGTACTCTATGTGCAGCTTGCCCCCGCCCTGCAGCACAAAGACACCAAAATGAGAGCTGCCCTAAGGCTGGAGAAGCGAGTGGCGATCGCTGTGTGGAAGCTGGAAACTCCAGCCTGTTACTGGTCAGCTGCAAATCAGTTTGGAGTTGGGAAGGCCACTGTGATGATGCAAGTGTGCAGGGCCATCTTCTGCTAAGAAGGATGGTGCCTCTGGGCAACATGTGGGAAATAGAAAAGGAGTACTTGTGGCACCTTAGAGACTAACCAATTTATTTGAGCATAAGCTTTCGTGAACTACTTTCCACAGTATGCATCCGATGAAGTGGCCTGTAGCTCACGAAAGCTTATGCTCAAATAAATTGGTTAGTCTCTAAGGTGCCACAAGTACTCCTTTTCTTTTTGCGAATACAGACTAACACGGCTGCTACTCTGAAACGTGGGAAATAGTGGATGGTTTTGCAGCAATGGGATTCCCTAACTGCAACAGGGCGATAGATGGCATGCATATCCCAATTTTGGCCCTAGATCGTCTTGTGACGGAGTACATCAACAGAAAGGGCTTCTTCCCTGTGGTACTGCAGGTGCTGGTGGATCGCTGATGTTGTTTCACTGACATCAGTGTGGGGTGGTTAGGGAAGGTGCATGACGTAGGCATCTTCAGGAACACTGGCCTGTATAGAAAGCTGCATTCAGGGACTTCCTTTCCAGACCAAAAGATGCCAGTGGGGGACTTTGAAATGCTCACAGTGATCCTGGGAGACCCAGCCTACCCTTTACTCCTGTGGCTCATGAAGCCGTACACCGGAAACCTTGACAGCAGCAAGGAGCGCTTCTACAACAGGCTCAGCAGGTGCAGAACGACCATAGAATGTGTGTGTGGCAGATTAAAGGATCCTTCCTGGTCTCCCAGTGCAGCAATCCATGAGTTCTCTGGGTGTCTGGGGTCATCTGCTGGCAAGGTCTGAGGAGACTCAGTCCCTTCCCAGGTCTCCGCTGGCCATCTAAAAATGTCCACCTGGGGTTTGGCATGCCTGGCCTCTGTGAACTGGGGCTCCTGCAACTCTGTGGAGGGAGCTCACAATACAGTCAGTCCTCCTAGGCAGTCCGGCCCAACTGAGCTGGGCTGCTTCCCTTTATACCCTGTCTCCAGGCTAAGCATGCCCAGCAGGGACAGAGGGGTGGTGGCTTCCTCAGCTGGCAATGCACAGTTAACCCCTGTGGGGCCAGTGCAGGGTAGACACACCCCATCACACTGCCTCACAAGGAATTTGTGATTCCTTAATTCATGTTTGCAAAGCACTCTGGGACCCTTGGATGAAAAGGAAAAAGATAGGGCAGGCATCCACAATTTAAACTCATATCTTGACTATACCCACTTAAGCCTGTATTTTTAATCTTGAAACTAATGATCAGTGAACTGTATGCATTAACGAATCTCCATGCATATTAAATATTGAAAGTAAAAACATACTCAGGGGATTTATTTGTATGTCTGGAGTTAAGGCTATGTTTAGGTGCAGTCTGCTTCAAATATGCAATTCAATAAGAAGGAAATAAAAACAATTCATAGCTTCCTTTTTTAATCTGATTCTCTTGGGCAGGATCACTTTGAGGACGGACGTTTGCATGGAGGTCTGATCAAGTGCCTATTGACATCATTAGAGCGGTGACCCAGGTAGCATCATTCTATTCTCCTCATCTGCTAATTAGTCTGCAGTTCCCCCAAAATTCAAGTGTCCAGTGGCTGTGGATTTCATGAGCTTCAAAAGCCTGTCCTGGGCACCTGCAAGAGGCTGTAACTTTCGAGCTTTACCCAAAAAAAATCACAATGTTAAACCTTCCATGCTGGCAACTGAGTTATATTTTCAAGGCCCTACAGGTGTGTCCACACTGCAAAGAAACACCCATGGCAATGAGTTTCAGAGCTCAGGTCTACAAACTCAGGCTTGAGGGGCCTGAGCTGCAGCGCTAGAATTCTAGCCATTCCCACACAGGCTGGAGCCTGGGCTGTGAAACCTGGCAAGAGGGGTGGTTCTCAAAATCCAAACTCCAGCCTGAGTGGGAATGTCTATATTGTTATTTTTAGTGCCGTAGCATGAACCCGAGTTTGTAGATCTGCGCTCTGGGACTTGCTGCTGTGTTCATCTGGGTTTTTTTGTTTGGTTGGTTTTTTGCAGTGTAGACATACCCTTTGTGGCAAAAAGCACTTGAAACGCTTTTTCAGGGAAAGAGCAGATCAGCTTTTCCACTTGCAGATCTATACAGTGTAGGTCAAGGATGCAGGATTTTCAGGCCCTAAAGGTCAGTTCAAGGGCTCATGAAATGTGGTCTATTTTGTCAATTTCGGTAAACAAAACCAATTATGTTCCCTTAAGACAGTCAGTGGAAAGCTTACTGGCTCACATCATAAAAGGAAGTATGCTTTGTTTATTTACAACTGATCCTAAAATTGCACATTAAGGCCCTAACACTGTAAGTGTTCTGCAGTCTAAACAGCCTCAAAGTAACCAAAAATGTTTCCTCCAAACACATAAATAACTGCATTAATTTTATTATTTAAATTCCTCCACTGTGTTTTGTCTCGTTAATAGCGGATTAAGATGTAGCCCACCACACCCAAACACCTAAGTCCTCATTGATTGTTTTCTTCATGCAATGAGCATGGTATGAAGAAAACAGGGTTACAGATCCCAGTCCTTTTTCATGCACTGGTATGTTGAAGATACAGGAAGAACTGACTGTTTATCTAAAGAATAATGTTATAGTGCTTCACCTGGCTCATTTGCTTTCCTCTCCAGGGATATATCTGGTTCATCCATCCCCTGCAAATAAGACATTGCAACAGTAAATAAAATTAAACACATTTTAGCTGCATTGTTCAAAGTCAGAGTGAAGATCAGGTGGTTTCTGCAAAGTAACAGTGACCTTTCCCTCGCTGTTAAGAATGCCAATTGATTGAAGTCTTTTTTGAATGGATGAGATACTCCACTAAGGAGGCAATGGATCAGTTGTCAGTTCAAACAAGTTTAAACAGTGATATAGGAAGCCCAGGGAGAGAGTTTAGATCGTGACAAAGAAAAAGCAAGAGCAGAGGACAAACAAAAGAAGAAACCGTGATGTTTGAGTAATACCATGCCAGACTTAAGGCACATAAACTAACAATTCATATATAGTGGAATATATCAAAGACTGTTCTGGATGGGTAACGACAATAAAAGTCGAGGGAAGTGAAGGATGAAAATGGCTTTATCTGTCCACAAGCAGGCATGTGATATTGAGTGAACCAAGAGCATAGTTAACAGATGAGTGCCTGTGTGTTGCAGATTAGACATGATCTACCCAAAGTGCTGCTTTATTCTTTGCAATTTTCTTTTTTAAAAATTGATTTTAACCACTAGGCCATATAAAAACAAACCAAGGCCCTGATCCTCTCCCCCTCACTCATGTTGGGTAGTATCTACATGAGTGGTCCCGTTAATCCCCATTGAACTCATTCAGGACTACTCATGTGAGTAAAGATGGAAAAATCAGAATGTTAAGGGAGTATAACTGATGTGGAGACCTCTGCCTGAATTTGCAGAGTCTGAAACAACAGCTGAGGTGGAACCTGCCTCATTCATTTCACTGGGTGCCAGTAATGATGCTTGAAGTGGAAATGTTAACTATTTCACTGCTTATCACAGCATGTCAAGAAGAAGAGGAAGTGTCATATCAGGAAGAGCTACGCACCAGCATTTCTCAAAATAGGGGGGCAAGAAGAGCCTGCTGGGGAGCATGGAAAGTGCATACATTATGATGGGCAGGCCTTTAACACACATGGTGGGGTTGTGTGGGAGGGAAGGGGGTCACATTTGTTTTCACTTTTCTCAAGCTTTCATAAATCTCAAACACTGGACTAAGCAACTAACAAGAAAGCAGAGGGCACACACTGTAATCACAAGCGTTACAAGTTGGCTTGGTAACAGTTTGTGATTTAGTCCACGATATGGAAACACACAATCCCCCGACAGCGTGGAAGATGAGTGTGTAGATTAAAAGAAGACAAATATCAGCCCATGAAGAAGACAAAGAAAGGGAAAGGAAAGCTGGAATAGTAATATCTGATCTGGAGTGCCTGTGGAAAACATAGTATGTGATCGTGTATCATAATACATATGCACAAGGGGGCTGAATAGAAGTTGCACAGGCAACCTTAATTCTGGCATTTCATAGCTTTTGAGTGCTTGACTTTGTTCTTTCAACAATGTTCTTTCAACACAGTATTGTAATTTTCTCCTGGAGTAATTTTCCACATACGTCATCAGGAGGGTTGGAACCTTTAGCTCCACCACACAGACCTCTGCCACTTGAGCTAACTAAGGAAGGGATAGCAATAGTAGGTTGTCATCCTCTATGTGGAATAGCGCAAGATGAGACACTGTCTGCCAGTGGGTTTCACAAATATCTGCTGGCAGCAGAGGAATGATGAGACTCAGGAATCTTTATTTCCATTCCAGGCTTGGGAGAGGATTGTGCTTTGGTGACCACAGATGTTTTGCCTCTTCCTCACAAACTTGACCTTTTCTGCCCTGTCCCCTCCAAACTATCCCTGTCCCAGTCTTGTCTCCTCCCCACTGCTGGCTCCTCATCCCATCCCATTAGCCTTCTCTGTCTAGGTCCAGTTTCTACTCCTCAGGCGTCTCATCTTAGTCCCCTTGCTCAGCCAGTCCTAGGCTGCCCCTCCAGGCTCCCTGTCCAAGTCCCAGTTTCCCTCTCCAATCCTAGTCTCCAAACCCAACCAGTCCCAGTTCTTCCCATCCTCGACTCCTTGTCCCTATTCTTTCTGCCCAGCCAGTCCCAGTACCCCCACTCCGGGCTACTTGTCTGAGTTAACTCTCCCTTCCCCCGGACCCTCATCCCCTCCTTACTCGTGTTTCCCCCCTCCTCCCCCTTTATTGGCTCCTAGTTCAAATCTCCTTCCATGGGCTCCTCATCCAATCTCAGTCCCCCCCCCCCCCCCTTCTCTGGCTCTTTGTCCAGCCAGCAACAGTTCTTCTGCATTACAGCTCCTTGTTGGATGTATTTTTCCACCCACCACCCCATTCCCCAACCCACTGGTTCCCAGTCCCAGTCTCCTTGCCTAGTCTCTCCCCTCACCACTTTTCCAGTCACAGTGTTTTTTTTACCCACCTCCAGTCCCAGCATCACCTAACTCTGTGCCCAGATCTACTTCTTTCCATTCCCCCCTCCCCAGGTCTGGCTCTTGTCCCCTTCAAATCAGACAGCTTCCTCCTCCATGCTGCCTGGGAGCAAACATGGGGGTTATTAAGAGCAGAGGAGAGCCAGGCTACTTGCTCTCAGAGCCAGTGCCCAACCTCACTGTGACCAGGAGCAGCTTGCACACAGCCATTATAGGGAAAATCCTGCTTTGCCCCAGTTGCCTGTGACTTGAACACACTCTGTGGGGATGGTGCATGAGCAATCCAGGTACACGTAGGAGCCATGAGGGGTTGGAACATGCTCAGTGAAGACAAAATCTTCTTAGAGTTCAGCAGCTAAAATCTCTGAAGTCTCTACTGAGCACGTGTGAACTGAGATAGATTCATACACTCATAGAATATCAGGGTTGGAAAGGACCCGAGGAGGTCATCTAGTCCAACCCCCTGCTCAAAGCAGGACCAATCCCCAACTAAATCATCCCAGACAGGGTTTTGTCAAGCCTGACCTTAAAAACCCCAAAGGAAGGAGATTCCACCACCTCCCTAGGTAACGCATTCCAGTACTTCACCACCCTCCTAATGAAAAAGTTTGTCCTAATATCCAATCTAAACCTCCCGCACTGCAACTTGAGACCATTGCTCCTTGTTCTGTCATCTGCTACCACTGAGAACAGTCTAGATCCATCCTCTTTGGAACCCTCTTTCAAGTAGTTGAAAGCAGCTATCAAATCCCCCCTCATTCTTCTCTTCTGCAGACTAAACAATCCCAGTTCCCTCAGCCTCTCCTCCTAAGTCATGTGTTCCAGTCCCCAAATCATTTTTGTTGCCCTCTACTGGACGCTTTTCAATTTTTCCACAATCATAGAAGATAAGGGTTGGAAGAGACCTCAGGAGGTCATCTCGTCCAACCCCCTGCTCAAAGCAGGACCAACCCCAACTACATCATCCCAGCCAGGGCTTTGTCAAACTGGGCCTTAAAAACCTCTAAGGAAGGAGATTCCACCACCTTCCTAAATAACCCTTTCCAGTGCTTCACCACCCTCCTAGTGAAACAGTTTTTTCTAATATCCAAGTTATAAGATACAGGCTTAAAACTTGGCAAATAACACATCCCTGATACAAAAGCCATCTCACTGCCAATTTTCCAGCTCATATTCCAAATCACGAGGACACTCGAGTTTCTCAATAAAAAAAGTTGCCAGCTTTCTTTTAAAATGGCAAAACGGAGGATTGTTCCCTAATTCACAGGACACTGATAACTTCCACTGAGTCAATACACACAGCTGTATGTTCTCTGTTTGCTTTTCTTGTTCACATAAAAGTCCTTTTTTTGTGACGGAAGGAAGAAAGAAGAAAATTAGATCATTCTTTTTATTTTCAAACTGTTTCTAGTTCTAATCCTTACTATGTAATTGACCCACCCTACAGGATTCCTTAACTGTAATTGATGTCAGACCATAGGGGAGTGGGAGGGGTGAAAGGGGACATGTTCTCACATGTAGAATATTTATTACGTTTGCTAATGCACTGGACGCTGAGGGCAGGTCTACACTAACTTACGATGCTCAGGAGTGTGAACCTCTCCCTCCCCTGAGCGACGCAAGTTTCGCACTGTCCACACTGGTACTATGTCGACAGGAGATGCTTTCATCTCTAGTGAAAAAGGTCCACAGTAATTATCTTGCATACACAGCAGTGTATTTGAGAAGGAGTTACACAAGCAGTAAAGGGTTACATTAAGCACATAATTCCTGTGTTAGACATTAAGAACTATACATTCCTCTTACCGAGCCTCTCTTTCACAAACATACACAAACAGGCCCTGTGCTAGCCTCACACAGTTCCTGCTTGGCAAACAGGGAAGGCAGCTCCCATCTTTTCATGTGCTAGAATATATATTCTGCTTGCTGTGTTTTTCACTCAGTGCATCTGGTGAGGTGGGTTTTAGCCCACGAAAGCTTATGCCCAAATAAATTTGTTAGTCTCTAAGGTGCCACAAGAACTCCTCATTGTTTTTGCTGATACAGACTAACATGGCTACCGCTAAAACACGCTATCTGCTAAAACACTGCAGCACTCACACTGCACGCTTTTGGATCCCAGATAGAATATCACTGGCCACGCCAGCGACTCCCATTCACAGGGTCTGTGGACCTAGTTAACTTTCTGAGCAAATAGACAATAAACAGTACTACAGTACTATTAGGATCTTGTCTCTAGAAGCTTTACTTTTAGGGGATTCCTTTTTAAGGGATTTACCTTTAAGGGTCCCTTTGTGGTGCCAAAACTGTTAACAAAATAACAGGTGAGCAAGATAACTTAAATATCCTTGCTCTTAGTTCATCTCCTTAATTCAACATCTATCATCTCTAGGTAAATTTCCCACCTCAGACCATCAGATCAGATATGCCAAACCCATGAAAAAAATGCAGAAATTGGGCTTGCTTTTGCCTTAATTGGCTTGAGAGTTGCTTGTTGGCTAGTTTTTGCTTGTTGCTTGTTTGGTTTGTAGCTTGCTGGCTTTTTTTTTTTTTTTTTTTTTTTTGATCGGCTCCCAGCAAGCAGGAGCAAGGTGGGGAGAGAGTCAGGGGTGCACACGGGGCCCACCATAGTCCCAGACTGCACGCAAGGGGGATATATTCATATAGAGTTTTGGGGTTCTTAGGGATTGGCTTGTTTTGAAATGGGATTAGCTTGATTTTTGGTTTATTGTGAAAGTCGGGGTGCTTATTTACCACGTTTGTGAAAGTTGGCAACTGTGCCTCAGATCCCTGCTTTAAGCAATAATCCTGTCACAGCAGTAAGATCAAAACAGGAAACATTTATTAACAACGGTACTTATATTACAACTTCATACACAGTACACTCTATGCTATATTTCATGCTCAAGTTAACTTCACAAGGCCTGAAGTCTGGACCCAAATTACCCCACCAAGGGCCACAAACCTTAACAATAACAAGGATTTCTTCCAACTTATTTCTGCGCGGGATACCAGGAACAATAGCCACACAACAGGAACCAGGACTGGAACCAAACCCTCAGGAATTAGGAACACAGGAACCACGGACAGGAGCCACCAGCCAAGAAGTTGCCATCAGGACCAAAGATCTTCTGGAACAGGTAAGTCTTCGTCTGTGTCTTGATCTGATGAGTGTCGATGGTGCACAGGCACTGGCTGTCACTATGACGGACAGCACAGAGCAAAGTGCTGAGACCTTATATGCACTTTCTGTTATCATGCAGATTACACACTCAGGTCACATGATGTTTCCCCCTCTTGGGTTGCCTGGCAGACTACAACTCTCACTGAGCATTTTCAAAAGCTTTTCACCAACTAAACATTAGCACCAAAAAGGGCGCCAACCATGGTAACAAGAAGGAAGCCCAAGATGGAGGATAAACTGACTGCAGCCTAAACAAAATTGCTAAACCAGGCTACACCTATCCCATGGATGAGCCAGGAAGCACATGTTCTAAGGACATACAGGCATGTGTTTGAGGACTGTAAGTATGGATGGAAGAGCATGGGGGCTAAGGGGTGGAGACTGGAGCCTAAACTTGTCAGACTTAGGGCTGGATTTCCAATTAGGCACAGTAGGTATGTGCCTTGGGGTGCCTAAAAATTAAATGTGGGTTAAAAGTTAAAACGTACAGCTAGCTTGCAGGTGGCTGGGCTCCTGGCACAAGTTGGTGGCCACCCAGCATGTGGGGCTGGAGCAGGGTGAGCATCTGAATCAGCCTGCCTGGGGGCGTTGTAAGCCGCAGCTAGGTGGGGTGGCAGCTGAAGGTACTTGGAGCATCCCTGCCCCTTCCCAATCTCTGCCATCTCCCTGCCTCTGCCCCATGCTGGGAAGGAAGAGGGAGGAGCATGGCCGGTACCCCATTAACTTGCTTGGGCAGAGCCAGAGCGCGGCTGCCACGCCAGGCTGCAGGAGGAATGGAAGACACCCAGGGACAGCTCGTGTGGGGAGAGGTACAGTCCCCACTTTGCACCTCATCTATGGCGGGTGGGCTGCGCCTCACCTCTGGGTGGGAGTGCCGTGCACAGTGAAGGGTCTTGTGCCTTCCCGGGGAGGCTGTGTTTATATTTCTTTTCATTTCATTTTTTTACAGAAAACATGAAGGTCAGCTGTAGGCAGAGGTGGCACTGAAGATGCTGTGCATAAGGTGTAAATCCGGCCCTGGTCAGACCCGCACTGTAGACATACCCTGAGAGCAAAGTCAATGTGTTTAAGAAATTTGTTTGCTAAGCCTGTGTTCTCTGCTTTCCTGCCACATTGTCCTCAAAGGGCTTAAACTAGAAGCCCAGGTGCCAGCAGCCTAGGTGGAACTCTAGGGGATCATGAGTAAGCATGGGGGACTTGGGAGGTCTGAGACACTAGTTTTGGCATGTAGGGTGGCTGGACAACAGCAACTCATGTCCCAAGGAAGGGTGTCAGACAAGAAATCTGAGCCTGAGAACACCTAGAGTCCCAGAGCTAGAAACAGTGACTAGACTCTACATGGACACCCTTGGCCTGGATGCATGTGGGACCCAGCAGTTGGGTCCACTCGCAACAAGCTGGTGATCTTACACAATGGGGTAGTCAGCCAGTGGTGAATTCTCCATCCCTTGCTGTCTTCAGATCAAGACTGAATGCCTTTCTGGGCGATGCTTTAGTCAAGCACAGGTTACAGGGCTCAATACAGAGATAGCTGGGCTTAAGGAGAAGTCTAGGAAGATATGAAACATTAGTCAATAGAGATAGTCAAGATGTCCTGGCCTCCTGGTTCCCAGTGCTGTGCATGTTCCAGTTGTCCAAAAAAATTGTTCTGAATATATATTTGAGGGGAATGGGGTAGATGGGCAAAGACAGGACCAGCTCTAGGCACCAGCAAAGCAAGCACGTGCTTGGGGTGGCACAATCCCAGGGGTGGCATTCCAGTCATCCTTTTTTTTTTTTTTTTTTGTTGCTTGGGCAGTTGCGTTCTTGGAGCTTGGGGTGGCAAAAAACCAAGAGCTGAAGAGCCCACCATGTATCCCATCAGCAAGTCTTACTGTGTTTCATTTGGAGTTAAGCTCCATGGGAAGTGCTAGAGCGAGCCACAAGGGCAGCACATGCATAATACTATTGAAGTGTAAAGATGTAGTGGCATGCTGCCAAGACATGGATCATGTGGTGTGGTCAGGGTGAAAGCTGGAGGCATGTAGGTAGGAATAGCGGTCAGTAGGTTTTCGGTATAGGGTGGTGTTTACATCTTCATCATCTGGACCCATGGAAAAGAAGCCCTTGAGGAATTCCACCATGATTTCAACAATTTCCATCCCACCATCAACCTCAGCCTGGACCAGTCCACACAAGAGATCCACTTCCTGGACACTACAGTGCTAATAAACGATGGTCACATAAACACCACCCTATACCAGAAACTTACTGACTGCTATTCCTACCTACATGCCTCCAGCTTTCACCCTGACCACACCACATGATCCATTGTCTACAGCCAAGCTCTGCAATACAACCGCATTTGCTCTAACCCCTCAGACAGAGACAAACACCTACAAGATCTCTATCAAGCATTCTTACAACTACAATACCCACCTGCAGAAGTGAAGAAACAGATTGATAGAGCCAGAAGAGGTCCCAGAAGTCACCTACTACAGGACAGGCCTAACAAAGAAAATAATAGAACGCCACTAGCTGTCACCTTCAGCCCCCAACTAAAACCCCTCCAACGCATTATCAAGGATCTACAACCTATCCTGAAGGATGACCCATCACTCTCACAAATCTTGGGAGACAGGCCAGTCCTTGCCTACAGACAGCCCTCCAACCTGAAGTGGATACTCACCAGCAACCACATATCACACAATAGAACCACTAACCCAGGAACCTATCCTTGCAACAAAGCCCGTTGCCAACTGTGCCCACATATCTATTCAGGGACACCATCACAGGGCCTAATAACATCAGCCACACTATCAGAGGCTCGTTCACCTGCACATCTACCAATGTGATATATGCCATCATGTGCCAGCAATGCCCCTCTGCCATGTACATTGGTCAAACTGGACAGTCTCTACGTAAAAGAATAAATGGACACAAATCAGATGTCAAGAATTATAACATTCATAAATCAGTCGGAGAACACTTCAATCTCTCTGGTCACGCGATTACAGACATGAAAGTTGCGATATTACAACAGAAAAACTTCAAATCCAGACTCCAGCGAGAGACTGCTGAATTGGAATTCATTTGCAAATTGGATACAATTAACTTAGGCTTGAATAGAGACTGGGAGTGGCTAAGTCATTATGCAAGGTAACTCATTTCCCCTTGTTTTTTCCTCCCCCCCCGCTCCCCTTCCTCAGACGTTCTTGTTAAACCCTGGATTTGTGCTGGAAATGGCCCACCTTGATTATCATACACATTGTAAGGAGAGTGATCACTTTAGATAAGCTATTACCAACAGGAGAGTGGGTTTGTGTGTGGGGGGGCGAAAACCTGGATTTGTGCTGGAAATGGCCCACCTTGATTATCATACACATTGTAAGGAGAGTGATCACTTTAGATAAGCTATTACCAGCAGGAGAGTGGGATGGGGGGAGAGAAAACCTTTTTTAGTGATAATCACCCATTTTTTCATGGTTTGTGTGTATAAAAAAGTCTTCTGTATTTTCCACAGTATGCCTCCGATGAAGTGAGCTGTAGCTCACGAAAGCTTATGCTCAAATAAATTGATTAGTCTCTAAGGTGCCACAAGTACTCCTTTTCTTTTTGCAAATACAGACTAACACGGCTGTTACTCTGAAACCTGTACTCTGCAAGGCAGAGATGGGAAGTAGAGATTTTTGACATTGTGTAGTTCAGCCCAATCTGAACAGATTTTTATGAGACCAGCGAAAAGGTTCCCCCGCTGTCAAATTTCAGTCTTGTTGCAAATCAGGAAGTCTCAGAGGTTTGGGGGTTGTTTTTTTAAACAACAAAGAAAGTCATAAGAATTTTTAAATAAAAGAATGTGTTAGGCAGTGACCGACTAGGTTGCCAACTCCCCTGTAAAAATAGAGGAGTTTGAAACTATCACCGTCAACTGAGTTGTGTTCATACGCCACCAAAAAAGGATCATATGGGAGGAGCGCGCAACAGTCAATACATTCTGTCAGTAATCCACAGTCCAAAGAGAATTGGTTTTAACGCCAGCTCATCAAAATACAGGGGTTCGTAAAGGGCCCAGCACACTGAGTTTCACTTCAGCCCAGATTTCAGAAGTAAACAGTCCAAGTCTGCAGGCTGCTGCCCGCCCTCAGACTCTCAGTGTGGCTTTCAGCTCAGGCTTCAGTCCCTCCTGATAGCCTCACAAAGAGACCTACCCACTCTCACTCCATCCACCCACATGCTTTCCATTCAACATCTGATCCCTTTTGTCTCTGTCCCCTCCTGACTGCCTCTGGAGCAATGAAAGACAGCTGTGGTCTTTCCCTAGAAAGATGTGTTAACTGTTTCCCTGCTAGCCCAGACTTGGGTCTGTGCACCTCATCATGCTACGAAAACATCACTGGTATATCTGACCACTAGGACCTTAACTGCTGAACTTGATCATTAGACATGTAAACGAGAAGGGAGACAATCATTAGAATGAATTTGCACTATGGAAGCTACAGAAAAACAGTAAATGTAGCAAGATATCTATGAAAGAAAGACACAGGAAATACATCAATTAATCAAAAATACAAAGGGAACATAATCTATTAGTTGAATATCCCTTATGATCTCAGGTGATTTCTCACAAAATCTTGCTTTGTGATTGGTTACTATGAGTCAGCATTTCAGTTGGAAAAATGGGATTAATTGCACAGGCAACATTCATTCTGGCATTACCTAACTTCTGAATGCTAGTCTTTTGCAGACTTAATGTTCTGTTAATACTGGTTTTTGTCTCTTTTCCTAGGTTATTAAAATATGCAAATTATCTCATGCAACTGTAACAACCCGCCACATCACTCATCAGCAGGTTTGAACAGGACCTTCCTCACTACAACACAGATTTCTAACACTTCCTCTGAGGGGCTAATCCCATTACCTGGCTACAGCAGTAGACTGTTATCCTCTGTGGACCAGCTACTAGTGGGAGATACACAGTACATAAAACAGTGGGTTATATCCACAGAAATTACCCCCTTTTCGGACATCATTCCTAAGCATAAAGATTTGACAGGTTCTTTCTAAGAGCTGGTGTCACAGATCCACATAGGGACTCAGGTGCCTAAGCCCAGTTTTAGGCACCACTGTAATCCACGAAAACTCAGTTTGGCTGCTGCCTAACCTGTAGGCATCTAAACTCACTGGGTGCCTAAGTTTTTCCAGTACAGGTTCCCTGGGTACCTACGTTTCTGCCCTTGGGCATGCGCACTGCTGCCTCACTCTAGGCGTCTGCAAGCCTATCTCATTGTGCGAGCTGCAAACCAGGGGAAGATAGGTGGAGGAAAACCTATCTTGTCTGCAAGACACTATCTGGTGGCTGTGCTCTGAGCAAGCCTATCAGATTGGGTCCCATTCAAAATCCAGCTGGGGGAGGTGTTTCCTTTATAACAATTAGCCCAGTGGTTAGCATGCTCACCAAGGATGTAGAAGACCCACATTAAATTCCTCTCTTTGCCTGATGGGGAGAGAGGATGTGAACAGGGTTCTCCCACCTCTCAGGAGAGTGCTTTTGCCACTGAACTATGGGATATTCTGGTGTGGAACTCCTG